ACATGAGTAATTATTCATGTTGAAAGAATATTCAAAATTTCAAACCTTAAGTTATATCTATATATATATTATTTGACTCGACTCGACTCGACTCTTGTTCAGCTTTCGTCAATTGTCTTCTATTTGACTCGCCTCGACTCTCGTTCAACTTTCGTCAATTGTCTTCTCATTCGACTCGACTGGTCTTAAGAGTCGACTCTCATCACTTTTTATTAAACCATGGATGAAAATATCACTTCTTTTTGTTGAATTACCATTGCAATATGGATAGTCTTTTGTTGAGAGCATTATACTTGTACATATTTTTATCTCGTAATCCGGACCAAACCGCCATTTGTTGGTCTGGTGTGGCCGATTATTGGCCGGATATCTAAGATTACAACGACCGTTACATGTGATCTGGTCAATTCATGCCACACTGCACGGCTTTGAAAAGTTCCGAAACCACTCTAATTTTTTTTAACAAATTGAGTAGAACTAAAGCGTATTCTCATTTTCATTTCCAAACATTCCCAATACCTGAAACGAACCAAACGCCCCTCAAACTAAAAGCACCACGATTTGGATCATGGAGCAAATCACAATTTAATTACACGGCTCCAATTGAGTAAATGTGAAGTACCTTTATTTAACCGTATCGTTTCAACATTTAAACAACAACTAGTAGTTAAGTCAACAAAGCCCCCTGCCTGGCTTACGCTCAGCTGCGTTTTCCCTGGGTCAAAACTAATATTAGTTTCAAAAGGGCCAAGATTAACAGCTTTTAAATAACAAACGCCACTAAATGTACTTGATATAAAGCCGGCCGGCTGGCTGGCTTAGCCGAAGTTGATCCCCTGTGCCAGTGGTAGTTCGCTCCCATAGTTGATCGTACTGATAAACCAAATGCAAATATTATCGGATGCAAGCTATATGCTATTGCCTACACTGTGTTCTCGAATTTAAGAAGAAAATAAATAAAAAGGAAGTCTTTTATTTGTGTTCTTGAAAGGGAATGCAACGAACGGAGGGGAACATATTTTCATATTCTTAAACCCGAGAGAAAGAAAGGAAAAACGTCATTTTTACGAATATACCTTTTATATTTGTTGTTTTCACTTCTCCTCACAAGGGTATTTTCGTCATCAAATATCACATACTCCTATTTTCTCCCCCCCCCCCCCAATTTTGGAGGAAACATAAACGATAGAGTAAAATTTAGTTTTAGTCCCGAACGTTTGCAATTTTCAACAGATATGAAAACCTTAAACTTCAAACACTCGGATTTGGTTCCTCATGTTTGTCCATTCCTGACGGTTTTGCTCCTTTTGTGACTCTGTCTAACGGTTGTTAACTTTTTTCGGTAAGTCCAATAAATGAGGGGTATTTAGTCATTTTCATCACTTTCTCAACTTTATATCAAAACTAAAATCATATTATATTTTTAATTTTAAATTGTAAAACAAAAAAAGAACAGAAAAAGGATAACCACCACCTTCCATTTTTCTTTTCTTTTTCTGTTTTGTAATTTTAAATTAAAAATACAGTATGTTTTTTTAAATATAATTAAAATAGTGAAAATGACTAAAATACCCCTCATTTAATTGGACTTGGTAGAGAAAATTAACGACCATTAGATAGAGGGAGCAAAACCGTTGAAAATTGACAAATGTGAAGGACCAAATCCAAGTTTTTGAAGCTTAGGGACGATATGCGTTGAAAAACTGCAAATGTTAGAGACCAAAATTAAACTTTACTCTAAATGATATTTTCCATCCTAAAAGTTTAAACACTTTTTTTTTTGTTTTCCCATCATTTCCCTCCTCCCTTAAAAAGACGGTTTCGAGAACATAGTGCTAACGTGGATATATAGATGCTAGTAAAATTTTACCAAGTGGAACGTCTCATATACTGTTTCCACGAGTCGCTTCCTGCTTCACGGCCTCCCCCAGTACCCTTCTCGCCACCGAAAGCACCACCAATTTCAGCACCATTGGTTGGTATGTTTACATTAACAATACCACAATCACTTCCTTGAGGTCTGCCAAAAAAACAGAGTAGCATATGAGAACCGAACATTGATTTACTATGTACAAAGAGAATTCAACTCACCCGATCCATTTGAAGATAATCTCGGGCGAGCGAGTGAATATAGAACTCGATAACCCTTGAGGTACTGAGTTGTTTATTTCAACAGCTTCTTGAAAATTCTGTACATGAAGAACACAAATATTGATATAAGGGCATGTTTGTTAGCAGCTTAATGAGACGGTTTATTTGGTTGACTATACATGACTGTTTGGTAGTGACTTAATAATAAAGAAAGTAGCTTATTCAGTAAGCTTCTAGAAGAAAGCTTTATGCAGAAAGCCAAGTTTTTTTTTCCAAACCTGTCCCTCCCAATTAAAAAACAGCTCCTTCCATCTATGAAAAAACCCCTCTCAAACAAAAACTTTCTCAATCTATACGGACATATTAATACCCATATAGCTTTATTCACATAGAACTTAATGGAAACCAACCAAACTGCCTCTAAGTTGTGCCGGCATAAGAAATAGCTGTAGGGGTTAAACATGTGAGAACCAGAAAAGGGTTACAAACCCGTGAAGAAAATATCAATGTATTGTTTCGCATAATCAGCTTTTCATCCAAGACTACGATTTAAGGAATGTATTGTTTCGCATATTCTTCTTTTCATCCAAGACTATGCTTTAAGGTATTTTTACGTGTATATATTGTTTCACAGTGTGAAAAAACACTGTATGTGTCAATGTAAAACAACACATGATTAACCGGTTCTCACGGTTCTCCAACCTTTTTGAGCTGTAATTGAAGGTGCAAGTATGTTCAAGGATACTGTGTAACGAATTGCTCAAAATTGACCTTGAATTTTAAGACATATAGAACGGGACCAAAGAGCTCTTCCTTCACAATATCAGCACTCGGTGAAATTTCAACAATTGTGGGTTGTACAAAGTTCCCTTCAGATTCTATAATGGAACCACCTGTAAGGATTTTCCCTCCCTGTAAGATCGAATTATGAAGAAGCAAATTATTCAGAATCACACAAAGTAGACAAAAGAAAAGTGCTGTTTTGGAACACAAAACTGGTAAAATCAAGCAATTCTTAAAACTGCATTACATAATCTAAACCATCTTTGAGCTAACAAAACCTCAAGGGTATGCACATGGGACAGGACGGGCGAGAGTTGTTGGGTATTAGACTAATCTCTAGTCCCACATAGGAAACACTTAGAAACTTTTATGGGTTTATAAAGCTAAACCCGCATTAGTTAGTAATGAGTTTGCATTGGGCTTTAGTGAGGGACATGATATATATTTAATGGGCAGTTTCTGACAGTTGAAGTAGGTTGACAGGCATGAAAATTCTCTCCTTTCCTTCCCTTCTGTTTTCCAACCATGAAACTCTTTCCATTGCTATCATCAACAACATATTGTCAATTCATGGGTGGTTGGAACTCTTTCCATTGCTATCATGAACAACATATTGTCAATTCATGGGGATTGAATTGACGTGCCTCAATTCAATCAAATAGTTGTATCCCCTAGACGACGTCCGGAACCAAGCACGACCAGGGACGGAATTCCGTCTTAGGATTTGCAACATTGCAAAAGCAGGCCTCTATCTGTGTATCAACTTCAATTCGTGATTTTCATCGAAAAGGTACACAATTCTTTGTATTTCACGATTTTATTATGCAAGTTTCGTAGATTATTTGGTCACTTTATGTTTTTATATAGATTGGTCCTAAAATGAGTGAGGTAGGCGAACGAAAGAATTGTGAAACGTTTAGAGTATCAATTTGACATGGTAGTCTAGTCATGTCCCAGTCTAAACTCTAAAGCCGCGTCAAACATGAGACAACAAGCTTTCGTATTGTACTCTCCCGAACGCACCAACACAACTGTTCTCATTGGATGCAACAATTTACCCGGCAAGCGCCAACCGGGTAAGAGTCATCACCTTTGCTTACTGGGTAAGACTCTTGGTTATTGTCATCGCTCTTACCGGGTAAGATTTCCGGTCCTTGCCATGTTCATCCCATAAGAAAAGTTTCATCCCATAAGAAAAGTGGCATGATAAGCGCCTACAGGGCAAGCATTTGGTAAACGGCCCCTAAGTTCCGTTTTGAAGTGTGTTTTTCATCTAGAATATAGGAGCGCAACGAGGAGAAAAGTCAACAACAAAAACAAAGATTTAATAGTCCAACAATATTTGATGAACACCGAAAATGAACCCTCAGTGAAGCAAAAAGATGGAGGGGAAATGAAAAAAGTGTACCTGAGACTTGATAGCTTTTATTCCTTTTTCAAAATTCTCCCTTGATGCTTTTGTGTGCAAAGGTCCAAGTAAGGTACCTTTGTCTAAAGGATCACCAATTTTAACTTGTTTGTATGCTTCAAGTAGTTGATCAACTACAGAGTCGTAAATCTTTTCATGTACAAGCTTCAATAATAGAAATATATGATTAGCATTAGAGAACACCACTTTTGTAGAAAACAAGATTTTTGGGTAGAAATCATTTTATGGTTGATTTGAGTCAACCTATCCAATTGGAGCCATCCAGTTAGAACTGACAGACCATAATTGGATATCCAATTGTATCTGGATCAGATTGAAAATTTCAACATCCAATTTGGATCAATCGATTGGATGGCAGTCCAGAACCAACTAATGTCCAATTACCCATCCGATTACCATCCAGTTATCCATCCAACCATTATCCAATTAATTTGTTTTCAATTTACTTAAATTGAATTTGTTTTGTGTTGGTTTTAGCACATATTAAAAGTGATTAATCAACTTGTTTCGTTGTTGAAAAATTGGATTGAATTAACACATTGGATGGATCCAATCCGATCATCCATTGGATGTCGGATGGATCCACTCCGATCCAATCCAATTAATATTGGTTGGATCCAATACGATCCAATGGATATCCAATAAGAATATCCAATGGATGAAACAAATCCAATAATCCATTGGATCGGTTGTCCAATCTGTCCCTTACGGCAATCCTGTCTTTGCGGGATTAGCTCTCGAAGTGCGCTAGCTGGCTTTTGTCCGATGGTTGGAATGAAGGATTGATCTGATACCAGAATAGGATCGGTTGGCAAAATCTAAAATCCAATGGATGATTGGGTCGGTTCGGTTCCCCACACATCCAATGGATGTCAACTAATGAACAAGCCTTCAGATTACCAGTCTACGACATGTTGTGCAGCGCTGACCAGCTGTACCAACAGCAGCAAACAAGACAGAACGAACAGCAAGTTTGATGTCGGCATCATCCATTACGATTAAAGCATTATTTCCACTCAATTCAAGCAGGCATTTACCGAACCTCTGACTCACCGTCTGTTGAACCATAAGACCAACCTGCCATTTATAATGTGCCACATGTCAGAGACAATAGCATACACATTCACAAGATAGTCGAAGGACTTCCTTAGGGTGCGCTTGGTACACTAGACATTGTTCCATGTTTGGCTGGACTTTTATGTGGAACAGGGTGGAACGCGCCCATGGAACAAGGTGGACTTTATATATACAGACACACACAGAGACCAATATAATCTCAAAGTTAAATCTAATTACCTTCTAAAACATCAAATGCGCCTACCTCTTTACATTTTATTCATTCTTTAAATTTTATTTATGCTCTTTATACTTTCACTTTCCTGTCCTCAAAATATTATTTTATATGGTTTTTATATGTTGGTTATTTTATGTAATTTATTAAATAATAATATAGAAAAGGTATAAAATAAAAATTGGAAACTACATCAACTTTTTATTTTGGTGTCATTTTAATCGTCTTGATGAAAACTTTCTAATGATGTATTTTGTTATAAAAAAATATTATTTTTATTATAATTTAACAAATATATAACTTATCAAAATATATAAACAACTCATTAGGGGTAAATTGGTCTTTTTATCTGTATTGTCTTGTCTACTTCTGTCTTACCAAATGTCGAACAACTCTTGTCCGGTCCTATCCTGCTGGATACCAAACTCACCAAGATAAGAGTTCTGAATAAATGGAAATGACCTGTTATATATGTTCTAGTTTGACATATCAATGTAAAGAAAATTCAGTGTTGTTACATTTAAGCTATTAGATAATCTCTATATCAGATTAATAAAGGATGCCACAATTTCTGCCTGCAATTATTACGTAAAGAATATGTGAGCAAGGTACCTTTGAACTTCCAGTGAAGGAAACTAAGGGTATTCGTGTGTCTTGTGCTATAGCTTGACCGATTTCAGCACCCCCACAAAATGCAGTGAAAATAGCAGCTGGTAAACTGTTCTTTTCTAGAACTTCTCCAACTAGCTTGGTCATTGCTATTGTTATTAAAGGAGTGGTTGGAGCACCTTTCCTGCAATCATATCATAGAATAAAATTAATATCCTATGAAATTCATTCTCAAACACATAGAAGAATAAAATATACTATAAAAAATCAGTTTTAGTCATTATAGTTTTCATTTTGTTCCAATTTGGTCATTGTGGTTTAGTTTTCAAGAAACAAGCAACTCCTAACTTTCTTGAACAATTAACCACTCTCAGGGTTTCCAATATAAAAATGACATTTCTCAAGGTCTAGGCATCGCTTCAAGGTTTTGAATCTTATCAGAAATTTGATGGATTACAAAAGACGTAGGTACTGATTATTGAAAAGGGTAATGATATTTCTCATACATAACCAAGTGTTTGCAGATTTTCGACACCTTGGTTCATCAATATTTCTTCAAATAATGGGGAGTAAATACAGAATCTTCACTTCAGAGGAATACCGTAGTCAAGGGAGAGAATAAAACATGGAAGTTGATGGTGGAGACTCACCAAACAACACAATTTCCGCAGACAAGAGCAATGCAGGCATTCCATCCTAAACAACAGCATTTAACAATTAATATGATAAAAAAAACCAAGATTTATTTGTTCATAACTGTATATTTGATTAGGGCCAGGTTCAAGGGAAAACCGCAAAGAATGAAAAACTGAGGAACACCCTAGTAATCGTTCATCTGGACGGTATGCACATGTATACAAGTAATTCGTAAGCAATTTGTCCGGTATGCACGTTATGCACATGGGCATAAAAAACCCAAGAAACAACTTCAATTACTTGTATGCACATGTGCATACCTTTGAGATGAATGGTTGCGACTGTGTTCCTCAGTTTTTCATTTTTTTTGGGTTTTACCCCGAACCTCCGTCCTCTATTTGATTATATCTACAAGTAAGAAATCTAGATCAAAATACGAGCATGACTTTCAGGAACAATCTTTGATGAAACATGTATAAGATAAGCCATGTTATTGGATCCCAGGTCAGGTTTTCTTAACTTGATGTTTTGCTAGACTAGTGATAGAAAAAACAAATGAATATATACAATTGGAAAATACCATTTTTGACTGAACTTTTAAACAGATTTTATGCATATTAAGAACAGCAGGATATGAGTACCGAGTACCATAGCTAACAGTATTCCATGTTATATCTCGTTTTAAAGTTGCTAAAGATTTAGTTTGAATTTAATTCATCGATATATTACTAAGTGCAATAATGCTCACCAAGAACAGCACAGGGAAAATTGAAGGCTGTAATGACCCCAACTATTCCAAGAGGATTCCACATCTGTACATAGTCATAATATATAAGCGTAATGGATGGGTTAGCATCTGTTAAAGAAAAATATTTAACCTCACCTCGAGCATCATATGATTTGGACCTGTCAACAAACCAACCAGGATTACTATTAGAAGAATTTTCCACAAGACAGAAAAATCTAGAAGGTTGTAGAAAAATCTAGAAGGTCGTAATGTAAAGTATTTCACATCAGAAAAAAGTAAACAGCTGTCATATGCTTCAGTCAATATACACGTAAATAAACCTAAATTCATTTCCACAACCCAGCTCCACGGAAGTGTGGCTTATTAACTTAATATGCAAATTTCATAAAGCATAGCACGGACACAATATTTTCCCCCATTGCCATTGACAATGAAAATGAAGGATGTAATCTTTCTTTATTTCTGAATTTAGAAAGGAACTAGGAGTAGAGCTCACGTTCAGAAGGTATGACCGATCCATTTAATTGACGGCTTAACCCCACTGCAAAATCGCACATATCAATAACTTCCTGCCATGGAAACAGTTCACACTTATCAAAGTGAATGAAAGTAGGTTCAATCATCTTTATTATATATACCATTATACCCTTTTGCAAGACAATGTATGAGTAGTAACACAAAGTGATGAAAGTAGCTAAAAAATACGTATATGCAGGAAATTTTGAGAAGCCATAAGCCATAGGATTGAGATTAATGATTAAATATTCCAAAACTATAACTGAAGAAAGCAAATACATACTTGAACTTCCCCTATGCCTTCTGGAAGAATTTTTCCCATCTCAAGTGATAAAAGCCGACCAAGGTACTGAAGCTTGGCTCTCAGTGCATCACCAATCTGTCTAACAATCTCGCCTCGGTTTGGTGCAGGAAGCTGAGAGAAAAATAATGTAATTACACAAGGGTAAAAAGAAATCATTGATCATTCTACAATGCTCCTTTTGAAACTATATCAGTTTATAGTTATAGTTTATTTGATGGTATTTGTTACTCGGATAACTGTAGTGATTCTGGAATAAGACAATGTGCAAAGAAAGACCTCAAGGTCCTCAACAAAGAACTAAACCATACTCATAAGAACTTCCACTCACTTGCATCCAAATCTTTGATGCTTCAACACAAGCCTGCATGCCTTCCTCATAATCTTGAGAAGAAGCTTCTACGACTTCAGCAATGGTCTGATCAACAAGATAGCACACATTACTTCTTTACAGAACTTGTCATTCAAATCCAAAACTTCAAATGATACAACAAATGTATATACTATTCTACTAAGGAACTTGATATACATGTGATCTCAAATCAGAGGTTCCCTCTTTCACCTGTTCCTCACTTTGAGCTTGACTGCTTGTTAATATCTAACTAGGTTGGATATCAATCATGTAGGTAGCCCAAATTAGGGGTGCTCAAATACCCGATCAACCCGGCCAACACAACCCAACCTAACGCGAAATAACCCAACCTGAAGCAACCTGACACCTAATTGAGTTCTAAAATCTTCAAACCATAGGTATTTGGTTGGAATTGGGTTACAGTGATTGATTCCAACCAAACCCAATTAACCCGATATCCTTTTATTTCTTGGATTTAATATGATTGTTAAGTCCCTATTAATATGTACATTAGACAATTACACCATCACGTACCTCATTCATATACATTTTTATATCTTCTCCATCTCTATATAACTCCCTTAATATATGTTCACAAAATGTGAACATATATATGCAAATTAAGAAAAATAGTTGAATGTGATATACTTTAAGATTTAAGGAGTATGGATCAGTGGTACTAACTTACTGATGATGAAAAAGGATCATGAGTAGAGAAAACAACATATTCAAGATTAGGATAATATTTTGATGTACAAAGTATCAACCCGAGGTGAAGGTTTGGGTTGGGTTGTCCAACTCTCTTCAACAGGATCAACCCAACCAATGAGCACCCCTGGCTCAAATCACTGTAGTACTTCCTCAGTTTCAAGTTGAAAAGAGAGCTACATGTTCATTTTTTATACCAAACCGAGTTTATTATCATGTTCGAACCAAATTCACATGGACTTTGTTGTTAATTTCTCACCAGAGAATTTCAATTCCTACTTGTTCTAAAAGTTGATCCGATTAAAACAATATAATCTAAAAAGCAAACTAACCGATTTGAGTTCTCAATTTCAAAATGTACTTCTGCTACGGAACCAGATCGACACGGAATCGGACTAAAACTTTAGAAGGAAAAAGGTGTTCTACTTGTATAGAATCAGATGCTTTATGCCTACCTGATTCTTAGCAGGATTAACAGATGAGACAACTGAACCACTTCCCTTCCAGGTACCGTTAACAAAGCTACCAGAATTCTTCGGCTCGATACCAATCTCCGTCAAGAACTCGTACTCCTTACTAAAACCCATATCTGCACAAAACAATAGTTCACTGATAAATCAAGTAAACATCAAGGTAAAACATATATACCATATCAAAATCTGAGTACTGGTCTCAGTAGCAGATCAAAATACAGCGTTGCGATCACTGAATATCTATCAATTACCTGCAACGCCTAGGAGCTGGTGTCGGAGAGAAACGGCAGTAGTCGATGAAAGTTCGCTTTGGCCGAACTGAAGTTGGAGATTGAGCAGAGAGGATTATTATAGAGAGACAGACGTGTTACCGGAGAAGACTGTGATACATACGACAAAACGGTGGTGGTACCGGTGAGGATGATGCCATGGATAGGGATGAGCATACTTTTTTTAATTTCTTTTTAAAATATTTATATACCGCAAAATAGAACTGATAAGCTCATACATTCTTCTTGCTTTTAGGGCCTGTTTATTTGTGACATAATGAGCTTAGCGGATAAATGGGCTTATTCGTACAGACTTTCTAGACTGTTTACTTCGGGCTTAATCGCTCAGAAATGGGCTTATTCGCCCAGATGAAAGAAGGAGCTTGTCCAGATTAAGCCGGCCAAAAGACTGCCCTACCCTTCCTTATCTTATCATGCATCTCCAAGAAACACCCCGCCTCTTCTCCTCCATCGATCGCACATCTCTTCTCCATCGATCCAAACTGTTTACAAAACCCTAATCGAAGGCCTCTTCTCCTCCATCGATCGACAGCCCTCTTCTCCATCGCTCACAACCCTCTTCTCCTCCATCGATCGACCGATTGATAGTCTTCTCCATCGCTCACGGCCCTCTTCTCCTCCATCGATCGACAGGTTCTTCTCCATTGCTCACGACCCTCTTCTCCTCCATCGATCGATAGGTTCTTCTCCATTGCTCACGACCCTCTTCTCCTCCATCGATTGACAGGCCTCTTCTCCTCCATCGATCGACAGCCCTCTTTGCTGTTCTTCAACGATTTTTGGATTTTTTTTATGTGTATTTGTTGTTTTATGGTTGCTGTTGATGCTGTTTGATGTTTGCTATTTATATATTTGTTGTTTTATAGTTGCTGTTGCTGTTTGATAGAATCTATTTTAGGTTTGTTGTTTGTTGTTTATATAAATCCAAACACCTTGCTGTTTCTATTGATTTTGTTGTTTCCTATTGCTGTTAATTGTTGTTGGTTCAATACATAGCTATAGCTATTGTTTTGTGTTTAAAACACTTGATTAAATAGTTGGTTCCATTTGGGTTTATTCAACAATTATTAAACAACGCGTAGTTCATCCTCAGGGGTAAATTGGTTATTTCTGTTATTCAGACTGTTAATTCAGATAGAAAAGTAAACAACAACATAAATTTATCCAGACAGACAAATTTATCCATACAAGACTTAATAGAAAATTTGGTAAACAGCCTCTTAGTGAGGTTTGAATCTTGATCTATTAAGAGGTCAAAGACTCATATATCACTGGGTTATTTGGTAGCCGTTGGATGGTTTTATATAGAATGATTAAGTGATCAAAATAATTAAGGGAATCTTATAATATAGTGTAAAAAAACTATAATTGTTTAATAATTATTTAAAATGAAGTTAAGATGCTGAATGGTTAAGGAAACGTCGAAGATACAAAATCATTCAGAAAATTTTATAATCATTAAGAGGCGGACCTATTTTTGCCAAACAAAATTCACCTCTTAATGATTCATAAATTGTCTCTTAATAAAATTATTAAGAGTTAAACAAACAACCCCTTAGTTTTATTTTTTATTTGTTCTCCACTTTTAAAAAAATATGCCTGTTTAACAAAATTAATTGATAAAAATAGAAAATAATCCATAAAAATCGAAGAAGTGTGACGCATAGAAAGCAGAATCCAAGTGTCCCACTTCCATTTGATTGCGTTACAATGTGGATAAAAGCCACTATCGTCGTTTCCTTTTTCCAATTTTCAATTGCATCCTTATACTTTCAGGGGTCATTTACAAACATTTATCCAATACGTGTTTATCGAAAAAATTTAATACTATTATTTATTTATTAGGTAATATTTTAATCCAATAAAACGGCATTGTGTGCAGCAATTCACTCAGTAAACGCTTACCATAGTAAGAGTTGTCGCCCTCACTTATCGGGTAAGACTTTTGGTCCTTGTTTCACTCTTACAAAGTAAGATTGTTAGTCCTTATCATATTCCTCCGATAAGGTAATGTGACTACGTAGGCGCTTACTCAGGTAAACAACCCCTTAGTTTCTTGTCAATATGTATCTCTAATTAAAAATTTCAGAAACGCTCTAATAACAATTTGTTTGTATAGTATACACATATCCATATAAATAACTGAAGATGTGTTTATTTTACTTTGTACGCACATGTACATGTTTTACACATTTGAATACTAGACAAATTACTTACAGTTTACTTGTATACACATTTGCATACAACAAAGCAGGTGGTCGTCATGAGATTAGTCGGCTCACATAATGGGTTGGATATCCATGTTAATAAAAAAAATCTATTTATTTCTTTTGATTTTGGATGTATCTATTATTTTAAAAAATATATAACATTTATATTCGACAAATAAATGCATACACTATTCTTACTTTTAGTGGTTTTTGACTCCCTGACCTTTTAGAAGGACAACAGACAAAATACCTCTAAGTCAGAGGCCTTTAATTGGTTCTACTTTTTGCCATTCATGTGTGTCAAATTTCAACATTTTTGACACATTTGATTACGATCGATCTGATTTCAAATTCCACACTGATTATGGTATGTGGATCTTGAATCTAGTGAACCATATGAAGATCATATGCCAGTCGAAAGCTTAATATCCACGATAGTCGGGATTAATCATAAGATTTCAAAACATGGTTAGAGAAAAAGACAGAGATAGCACATTTCATTTGACGGTTGAAAAAACCCGTGAGGTTCCTCTTAAAGGTCTAAATTAAGAAAAATATTTAACAGTAAACTTTTTAACTTCAACTATATAATTAAAATATTTAATTCATTTAAAATATCTACAAATTTTTTTATAGCGGTAAATTCCGGAACAAAAAAATTCGGCTTAATACAACGGAAAGTGTTCAATTGGAACATGAAAACATGACTAAGAGAAAGAAATGGATTTTCGGATCGCAATTCAATAGCTCAAAAATCTAGAAAATAGATGGAACTCCAGTTCTTTCGGAAATGGTAAGATATTTGACGCAAAAGAAATCTCCTTTCTCATTTTAAACTAACCAAAAATAAATAATTGATGGGAGTTCTTTCTGTCAAAATAAAACTAAGAGAACCTTCAACGTATAGCTCAGTCATTTGCTCAAATACAAAGCAGGTCTCGTGTTTGATTCCAGCCACTTGGCAGCCTCAACTTTTTAGTGAGTCAAAAAATGTCCTCTCACGCTGGTGTTAAAGGCATCTCTCCAACCCAACTACTAAGAAAATAACGGTAAAAACACTAAAAATGTAGGTTCATTGAGCACTAAAAAAAACCAATTTCAACCACATTAAAAAAAACATCTTTAATGTTATAATAATAACAATAAACATCTTAGTATCTTAATAATATATAGAGAGTTTAGTTCAAATGTTAACCCAAATTATCGTGTTAACTTTATGAACCTTTTCAACCAATCTTAGTATTAGGTTATATTCTATCTAGAAATTTATTGTTAAAGGTATATGGTTTTTTTTAAACTTCTATATCATTAATTGAGAATTGCAAGATCCATAAAATCCCATGATATTTGCATTTTTAATATTGATCTTGTGATTTTTTTCATTTTTTAAAAATGAGCTTCTAAAGCTTGTATTATTTTCTATAATGACTTTTAGAAAAAGTTATTTGAAGTCTGAGTTGGTGTTATTTTATTTTATCTTGCGTTAAAATCAAACAACCGACTACTTAACTTCTTAGCAGCTTTCTAATTCCGTCACATCAATTTTCTCAATCATAACCACAAGGGTAATGTCCGATTGGTTTGAGCTTTGACACAAAAGGTTAAAAGTGTCTGGAGGTCTCAAGTTCGAATCCTTAGAGAAATAAAAATTATTTTATGGTTACGAAGGTTCAAATACGGTAACACCAAACTACTCACAAAAAGAATGACCACCCTAAAATTAATCGGCATACATAACGAGTTAGATATATAGGTTAATAAAAAAAAAAGTCATTCATACGTATTTCATGATCTTATTATTTGCCCAAAGACAAGAATGGTGCACGTGAGCTCAAAAAATAGAGCATCTATCACGTGCCGAACGAGAAAAACAAATGTTTGAAAGGTGTTGTGTTACACTGGGTTTCATGCTTGGTTGCCAATTTGAGATCAATTTATTAATGGCCTTCGTACACACCACCTCTGACACAGATTCACCACGCTCTCCTCCCCCATACGACGTCGCATAATAAGGCAGACCACGCGCAATCAATGGTAGGTAATTCTTCTTCTTCTTGTAGCTCTGTAGTTGCAGAGACAGCACTGTTCATGGAGTAATTTTAAGCAAGTGTTAATGGATGGTGGTGCTTCATGTGGTTCACCCTCAATGTCGCTTGTTTCATTGCCTCCTTCCTCCGTTGACTATGTTGATTTGTACGGGAAGCGCCGGCAAGCAGCTAGGGTACAGGTGCTTGAGAGAGAAATCGGCTTACTCCAGGTCTTTCCTTTTACTCTCCTAAATCAATCGTTCTTCATCGTTTAATGTAAAATTCATACGCATTTTGTTGCACATTCAACACCGCGATTCCTCTACTCTTTGCGAGTTCTAGTAATTTTGTTCAAATGTTTGAAATCCATATCGATTCTGAAGTTGAAATGTCTCATAGTTGAAATGTAATGATTAATCGTAAAATTGGAGGAGTATCGTAATATAGATTTATCCTGAAATTGCTGGTGATGTTTGCGAGGTTCATCAAACTCCCCGTTCTATCATTCCAATTGTGAAATAGGAACATATCAGATTTGAGTAAAGAGATTGTTGTTGCACAACAGTATGATTTATGAACAGATGCATTTTCAACGAGTTCATATTAATCTAAGTTTTGAATCTCTTTTCAGTACTTAGTGATGAATGGTGTTCGGTCTGATTTGCAACATCTAAGTCTGAATCTTCGGTTCATCTAGTGGACAAAGTAAACAGAACCCATGCTATTTTGAGTAGCAACTGTTGGAAATATGTCGAGCCCTATTACATTACCCTCCAAAATAAAGCTTAAGGAGGAAGGAAGTTTCCTATAAATATAATGGAAAATCGGTCCAAATCTAGCTGATATGAGACTCCAACACACCTCCTTCAATGGAGGCCGGACAGGCATAGATTGTCCAAAAGTGTCATGAGGGGGTTAGACGAGTGAGGGTCCCTAGAGTCGTAGACCCGTAGATTATTTTTCAAAAGAGACTTTGATGGTTAACCTGTGACGATTGTGCCATATACAGTGGCAAATCCATAAATTTAGATGATTCAGGGGACATCAAAGGGTGTAAAAAGTTCCGAAGGTGAATAACCGATCCGATCCAAAACAGTTTTTGGTTATTTGGTTTTCAGGTTAAATGGTTAGTTTCTCCCGTCATTTGTTTTTACTATTTTGGTTAAACCGAATAGCACATTGTCCTGTTATTTTATTTATTTGACATGTATATGATTGTATTAATCATCGGTGATTAAAAAGATGGGGACCTGAGGTAGATATGAAGAAAATCTGAGAGTAGACTTCTGTATTTTTCTTAAAATTTTGGTTTCACTGCTCCTGGCCATCTAGAAATAGATTGCCAAAACATAGAAATAGGTGAATTCTTAGTGTCCAGATATAGCAATGAGCCAATGAAGATGCTGCTAGTTTGCTAAACAATGGCCCTAAAATCAACCTTCTGGTTTAGGAACATTTTTGGCTCTTTTTAGACACTTATCAATGCCTAGTGAACCCCTTTAGGTTATTGACACCCTCTAGGAAAAGCTTCATTCTCTGTGTACAGTTACCTAAAATGGCAAGTATTCCTTCAATAAGATGGTATTTGATTATGATCAGTTTCTATTTTGGGAAATATTTTATAAACAGGATGAGATCAAATCACTTGGAGGCATTGAACTTGCATCAAGAAGCTGCAAAGAGTTAGTCGAATTCATTTCAATTCATCGATAAACTTCTTTTATATCATCATATCCGTTGGCCTAACAATAGCGCTTGCAGGCTTGACGAATTTATAGACGCTACACCAGATCCGCTAAMAGCAATGTATGTGTGATTTCTTTACCACAAAATCTATTTCTTCGAATTTCATTGCGAGTTTATGCCTTCTAATTATGTTCTCTATTCGGAGTAGAAACCCGATGAGCGGTAGGTCCAAGAACTTTTTCAAGATCATTAGGTAAGATTCTTTCGCACTTTGCCCGGTCGCTTAGTCGCTTAGGGTGCGTATGGTATCCGGACAGGATAGGACATGACATAATAGTTGTTCAGCGTTTGGTAAGACATAACTGGACAAGACAAAACAAATAAAATAACCAATTTACTCGTTTATATATTTTATATGTTTTGATTAATTTATGTAATTTATTAAATTATAATTAAATAAATAATTTTTATAACAAAACATATCATTAGAAAGTTTTCGTCGGATTAAAATGACACCGAAATGAAAAGTTTATGAGTTTCCAATTTTTATTCTATACTTTTTCTATATTTGTTTATATTTTTATTAATATTTAGTAAGTTACATAAATTAATCAAAATAAAGGTATCATATAAAAATAATATTTTGAAAAGAGGAAGTGAAAGTTCAAAAATCTTAAATAAAATTTAAAAAATGAATAAAATGTAAAGAGTGAAACGTATTTGATGTTTTTAGAAGAGAATTAAGTTTTATTTTGAAGTTATATTGATAAAATATAGGTTTGTTTCATCTCATTCCATGGGGTGAGGTGGGAACATGCCTATTTCACTTTGTTTTTGTCTGTTCCACATAAAAGTCTTGTTAAACATGAAACAATGATCTCTGTTCTCTTTTGTCCTATCCATATACCAAACGCACCTTAATTCCCAATACCCTTTTAAATTTTCAATCTAATAATGACATATCGTGTGTCTCAAAATTTTATTTTAGCAGGAGAAAGTTTAGTTGCCGCTCGTGGATGTGTTGTTTTCGCGGGATTTGCTGCCGTTCAACGACTTGTCAAAACCCACGCACATCCTGTTGTTGCGACGTAAAGAAGACATGTAGTTGGCAGTATTGCAGGTGTTGCAAAATTTCGTGTAGTTGCAGCTTCAGTTTGCCGTGTTCTAGATGTTTCGTTTGCTGTTGTGGTGTAAAATCCTGTTGTAACCCGTGTTCGTGTTTCTAGATGTACCAAGTGGTTTGTTTCAATGACATTGATTTATTCGTCGAAGATTCTTAAGAGTAGGAAGACATGTATATAATCTTTTCGTATTTTGTTGTTAGTGTTTCGGATTATAGAGTTGAAAAATAAAGTTTGATCGTTTTAAGAGAACTAATATTTTATATGACGATAAAGATTATGAATTGTTTGCTAGTGGCTTCATGAGCTTAATGGTATGTGAGATTATTTTTGTGCAGTCATAGTGGACTGTTTGTTTTTGGCTTAATAATGAAGCCATTAGCTACTTTGGTTTTATGGATTAAGCACTGTCCCTGGCTTTATGGATTAAGCCATATTCCGCTTTTATGTTTTTTTTCTCCAACTGGACCCTTCCTCACAAACTTCATACCCCTCCTTGTTGCTTAATTAGGGGCCGTTTATGAAACCATTACCCCGGGAAGCGTTTAGTGGTCACCTACCCACTTGATGTACATGACAAAGACCTAGAATCTTATCCGATAAGAGTAATGCCAATCATTTTATTATTTATTAAGCACATGAAACAAACAAAAATTTATTATTTAACAAAAAATAAACGACTTATTACACATAGATATATATATATATATATATATTTTTTTTTTTGTAAGGGTGTCCGGGCCAAAGCCCGACTAATCCCCGACAATTTTGGAGGCTAAACATGGCCCCACTTAAATGTCGCCAACACTCCCCTTCCAGGGCTCGAACTCGGGTTCATGACTATGTCATGCCCAAGCCTTACCACTGTGCTGGAAGGTCTTTGACTACACATAGATATTATCTGAAATAAGAATATATTGTTTTAAATGGTATATCAATTAAGCCAATGATATAATATTTTTCATATAATATGTTTGCTTTGCCTAACCAATTTCAATTTAATAAATATAATTAATGGATTAGAAAAATCTCTAAGAAATAAAATAATTCAAATTGTCAAATAAATAATGAAGTCTACTACTCTTAACTTGTAATATGCTTTAAACATAACGTGGCACATGGAATAAATCTTGAGAATATCTTCTTTTTACCTTATAAATTTCTTATTTAATTTAATATAAGTCGTTAGAACATGTTTTAATAATAACAATAAATAAATAAATATTGTAATAATAATTAAAAAAAAACATTGTTTTTTCAAATCATTTTATCCATCTTACAAGTACCATATTGAGTTATGTAGTGGGTTGCATCTAAGATTATGGGATATGAATGAATGAATGATTGTACAGAGTATGATGTGACATTTTGATGATAGAAAATAACGATGTTACACCTTCTTTATGAATTCTTTTTCTATTATTTAATACACGGTGAATTAGAGAAAACGACAAATGAATTTCCCTTTTTTGTGTGTGTTCAAATGAGCACATATCCATTTCTTTGGTTTTGGTTTAACACCAAACCCCACTTACATTTCATCTGTTGCCAAATTAACGTAACTAATTACCGCTCTGGTGGCATGTCCCACCGTATTATTCTTCCTTCGAATGGTAAAAAAATTTAGGTTCATGAAAAGGTGCAACCATATTAATTTGTTGTGTGTCACCGTATATATTTTGAAACTATAAATGAGAACAAGTTTTATTTGGTAGAGTTGGTTTGCAAGAATTTTATTCCACCCCAGACCCAATTTCGAATATTCTTAGTGTCATTTTCTTAGTCAAATGGTGTAACTATTTGAAAACGGTTCCGTATACTTGTTACTTATAGTCAAATGGTGTCACCGTTTAAAATTTGTTTCTTATATATTTTTCTTATAGTCAAATGGTCCGCCTTTTGAAAAAAATTATTGGTCCGTTCCTGACTAAAACGCTCAATCTCGTTCTCTGATCGTCTAGAAATATCCCGACTTCTTTACATTAGGAAGTTCTAAAATCGAGACCGTTGGTTTCAATCAAACAATAATAAGCATGTAGTAAATATGATTATATATTTTAAAAATTGCAACTCTTTTTTTTATTAATATTTTTGTATAATATGTCATTTTTTTTTCGATTTTAAAAGTAACATCAGTTTATTTACAAATAAAAATCAAATAAACTTATCATAAATGTCAATAATTCATTCGCTGCTATAAACCAAGATTTTTTTTTGTCCGTTTCAATACAAGTTTACCAAATAATCAAGCATGAGTTCTACACAACAAAATACTGAAAAAAACCATTTGAATTTTTTTCCTTATCAGACCATACAATAAACATTTTTAAGAAACTGATAAAGTCATAAAAAGACGAACATATAACAAACCACTTAACTATTTTAAACATCTCGTTTGATGAAAAATAGAAATATACCATAACATAATATCACGACGAATTTTTTAAAATAGTACAAATTACCAATATTGTGTTATTTAAGAAAAACCCAACATGAAAACTGAAAATATTGTTTGAATATTAAGGGGGTGTTAGAGATTGGTTATTTAAAACAACTTATGTTTTTTTTTTTTAAGTTCTTTATCAACTTATATGGTAGCAAACTGGAGTTCTATAAAAAATGTTTGGATTGACTTATGACGATACCACACTGGATAAGTTGATATAATAGATAGAGACACCTTTTTTTTCCTCATACAAACACTAAAACTCGTTATTGCCGATACCACACTGGAATACGTTAGAAAGAAGTAACTCATTAAAAACTCTTTATTACTGGTGTCAAAACGGTATAAACATTTCATTTTTTTATCAATCCAAACACTAAAAACTCTTTATTATCGACATCACATCAAAATAAATTAATAAGGACAGATCCCGCTAAGAAAATTCTTATTAATTTTCATAGAAAAATATTAAAAAATTCTTTTGTAGTTTATCTTTGGTACAAAATCCGGATGGGCACTTTGGATTGGCCAATCCAATTATTTACAAGTAGCGTAGTGGTAGGTAATACTCACAACTGGTCCCTTTGACATCTCCAATGAAATCCTTCCACGTGTCCCACCTATATTAAAAAAATATTTTCCTATCTCTTTTTATCAGTATCTTCTTCCTCCTTTGCAGGAATATTCAGGAACCCTAACAATGGCGACTTCACTCCCATCTCTTCTTCTTTGTTTCTTCTTCTTCTCTTTTCTATCTGTAACCCTATCGGTTCATACGAAACCCTTCGATCAACCCAAAACTTATATCATCCACGCATCAAAATCTGAAAAACCTGCAACGTTTTCATCTCATCATCGATGGTATTCCTCCATAGTCAACTCAGTTTCTTCGTCTCACCAACCATCTGACATCCTCTACACCTACGAGCGCTCCGTCAATGGATTCTCAGCCAGGTTGACTCGAGCTCAGGCCGCTCAGCTCCGTCGTCTCCCGGGGATACTATCTGTCATCCCCGATCGTCCAAGGAAGCTTCATACCACTCACACACCTACTTTCCTTGGTTTGGCAGATGGTTTTGGTCTTTGGCCTAATGCTGAATACGGTGACGATGTTATTGTTGGAGTGCTTGATACTGGGATCTGGCCGGAGAGACCGAGCTTCTCCGATGAAGGACTTCCACCGGTTCCTTCCACTTGGAAAGGTACTTGTGAGGCAACAGCGGACTTTCCTTCGACGGCGTGTAATCGCAAAATCATTGGTGCTAGGGCTTTTTATAGAGGCTATACGGCTAGTCTCGGAAGCCGGTTGAATGAAACCGGTGGTTCTCTTTCACCTAGGGATACAGAAGGTCATGGAACTCATACTGCTTCTACGGCTGCCGGAGCGGTGGTGAAGGATGCCGGATTTTATGAATATGCGAGAGGTGAAGCTAGAGGGATGGCGGTTAAGGCTAGGATTGCTGTTTATAAGATCTGTTGGAGTGAAGGTTGCTATGATTCCGATATACTTGCAGCGATGGATCAAGCTATCGATGACGGTGTGCACATCATTTCTCTGTCGGTTGGGGCCTCCGGTTATGCTCCGGCATACTACCGTGATTCCATTGCCATCGGAGCTTTTGGAGCGATGCAACACGGTATTTTAGTTTCCTGTTCTGCTGGAAATTCTGGTCCGGAAGCCTATACTGCCGTGAACATCGCTCCATGGATTCTTACAGTTGGAGCTTCAACGATCGATAGAGAATTTCCGGCGGATGTTGTTCTTGGCGACGGGAGGTTATACGGTGGTGTATCACTTTACTCTGGTGAAGGACTTGGAGACGCACAGTATCCTTTAGTTTATGCAGCGAACTGTGGTAGCCGATACTGTTACACCGGACAACTAAACTCCACACTCGTCGCCGGCAAAATCGTGATCTGTGATCGTGGAGGCAACGCTAGAGTTGAAAAAGGAAGCGCCGTGAAAATCGCCGGAGGCGTCGGAATGATCCATGCGAACACCGATGAAAACGGGGAAGAGCTTCTCGCCGATTCGCATCTCCTGCCTGCGACCATGGTTGGTGCAGAAGGTTCAGACAAAATCAGAGAATATGTCAAATCCGATCCATCGCCGACGGCGACGATCGTTTTCCGGGGAACAGTAATCGGAACTTCACCGTCCGCACCGCGAATTGCGTCGTTCTCAAGCCGCGGACCAAACCATCTCACGGCGGAGATTATTAAACCGGACGTTACTGCTCCGGGAGTAAATATATTAGCCGGTTGGACCGGGTACACAAGCCCGACCGATTTAGATACCGACTCGAGACGTGTCGACTTTAATATAATATCTGGCACATCAATGTCGTGTCCTCACGTGAGTGGCTTAGCCGCTTTGCTCCGTAGGGCCCACTCCACTTGGACCCCAGCTGCTATCAAATCAGCCCTTATGACCACCGCTTATTATTTGGACAACAAAGGTGAGAAAATTACGGATCTTGCCACTGGGGAGCAATCTACACCGTTCGTTCATGGATCAGGACACGTAGACCCAAATCGAGCCCTTAATCCAGGATTGGTGTACGACACTGGAGTTGATGACTACGTGGCATTCCTTTGCGCCATTGGATACGATTCCAAGAAGATAGCAACTTTTGTGAAAGATCCAGTGGATTGCAGTGCAGGGAAGTTTAGTAGTCCTGGTGATCTTAACTATCCGTCTTTTTCAGTGGCGTTTGATTCCAATAAGGGTGGTGTTGTGAAGTATAAGAGGGTGGTGAAGAATGTGGGGAGTGATGTGGATGCGGTTTACGAGGTGAGTGTGAGTGCTCCAGCGGGTGTCGAGGTGGTTGTGTCGCCGGAGAAACTTGAGTTTAGTGAGGAGAAGACGGAGGTTGGTTACGAGATCACGTTTAGCTCCGCGGGCGGTAGGAAGGCGGCGTTTGGTGCGATTGAGTGGAGCGATGGGAGCCACAATGTGAGAAGCCCGATCGCGGTCGTGTGGGGAGCGAGTACGTGGCAAATGAGTATGTAAATTGCGCATTTTAGCTTTCGGATGGCGGTTAACAAGATTGGACGGGATTTGTTGAGTCCTTTCTGTAAACCAAACAAGAGAGGGAGATGGTGGGTCGGGGTCGTTGGTAAGTTTATGTACGGAAAGTGGGTAAGGTTAGGGGATGACAATCTTTTGTTTTGAATCAAAATAATGTATCATCTGCTCTCTTGATGTAAAAATAAATAGGAAAATATGCATGGTGTGTTTTAAAGTAGTTGTAAAATATTCGTGGAAAAGGTTTTGCATAAATCGGTGATTTGGAGAGAAAACGAAATTCATGTTGATGTGTGAAGAGGAAGAAGATAAATTATAAATGTTGATATGTATGATGAGAAAAATAATCCCTTTGGTAAAAATTATACTCAAATTATTTATGAATGATTTGGGTACAACTTTTGTATTTTTGGAATGGTATTTCTATTAAATTAATCAGTTTTATTTATAGGTAATAAGAAGGTATCTAAGAGGTTTAAGAAATTCCAAAAATTTGTGTAGTAATTTCGTAGATTTTTGCATTTAAAGATGGAAGAGAAGAAGTAGAAATCAAAAAGGACGCTTTGGCCGAGTGGTTAAGGCGTGTGCCTGCTAAGTACATGGGGTTTCCCCGCGAGAGTTCGAATCTCTCAGGCGTCGATACTTTTTCATTTTTATTTTACCCAAAAAAAAACCCATGATTTATAATTATAACCCTTTCATGTTCATGTTCATGTTCATGTTCATGTTCATGAGAATTAGCAATTAAAAAAAAGCCTGCAATTTTACAAATGATATTAGCCCAATTTCTATATAAAAAGCTTGGGCCCAATTCTTGTGCAGTTTTTTTGCTTACACTTATTAACTATAATCTCATCATCTAGTCGTAGTCGAATCTTCGGATTACAACTCCTATGGATGTTTGGTCACATATATTAAGCAGTAATCAATGAAAATGATTTTAAAAAAAAATTTGTTTCATATAACGAGTCCATTCCTCTTGGATGCATTTTCATTCCAATATAATTTTTGGTTTTAATTTTTTGTCGTTTTTCAACTCCATTATCATTTTTAATACCCAACTTGAACCAAACAGCCCATTAGTTCTCGTTCTTTATCTCTCAAGGATCACTTCCACCTCTGGGCCTTTTATTAGTTAGTCTCGATTAATTAACGGCAAGTACGGTGTTGCAATAGAGATCTTAAGAATTGTCTATAAATTCCTTCGGTTTGCATTAATTTCAAACCTTTTCACTTCGTAGTAAAATTCCTACTTTTATGGAATAAAATAAAATATATACCATTTCTTCTTCATTATATCGACTCTGTTTCTTTTCCTAAGATGATAAACGTGATAACAAAAAAATTAAAGCCCGTTTCAATAAGGAAAAAATGGATTCCGGTTTTGGGTATGAAAATTGATCCGACTGTACTTTTTCAGACTAGGATTTTTTGGGCTTGAGACTTCACCCGATTGAGCTTTCCCGCTTGGCCAAGGTTTGGGTATCCGACATTCCTACCCCGTGTTCTTTTTCAAAGCATCCAAAAGAGGTAGCAACATCGACTTGAGATCTAGGCAATAACGACGATGACTAGAGCGCAAAGAATAGCGGTTCAATGTGTGTTTGTTTTCGTTACTCAACATTGTTGGCCCAAACGAAGGGGTCGTTTCATTCAAGCATGGGAATTTTCATTTCTCCTGGTTTGATTTGAAATGGAAATTTCGGTTTCTGGGGGAATAAACCCATAATATAAAATCGAACAGTTTTCTTTATATTCATTCTTATAAAAGACTGTATGATGCTTATAATCAAAGTATCAAACACCCGTGTTCATTTTTAGGAATGGAATGAAAATAGAAACGAGAATGCAAGCCTATTATATTATATCAAACCAATCCATAATTTTCATCGTCATTCTCATTTCTTATCGTTCAATATCACCAACCAAACGCTCTAAACCCATATCATGTTTGTTCGTTGGTTATAAAATAATTTATAGAATTTAAACATGGTGTTTCAAAAAGTTATATTTATACTATATTATAATGCATTTGACAAAAACCATTAAAAATCATTTTTTATGCATTATGTATTGTTTATTGATGCATATTATTTAAAAGTCAAGATTATAATTAAATTGTGCGTATGTACAACTTATTAAAGCTCCATGTTTGAATTCGTGTAACTAACTATAGATGAGCATAATCAAACACTGGATAGGTATCTTATTTTAAATATAAAAAATCTAAAATATACTTAGGATAATGATTGAATTCTAACAAAATACTAATTATTATATTTCTAAAAAAATATATATCATTAGACCAAAAATAAATTAGTTAATTATTAAATCTAAATTAAATTATATTAAAAAATTAAATTAAAGAAATTACATCAAAAAACAAGAACTTTTAAATATTTAGTTTGATACTAAAATTGATACATTTTTTTCAAAATTTTATGATACTTTCAAAATTATATTTTATTCAAAAAATAAAAGCATTATCATTTTTTCAGTACCACATAAAATCATATTATAAAATCGATGTTGACAGAATAAAACGAAACATTAAAATCGAGAGGTATCTCGCTGCATTACGCGAATACCTTTCTAGTATACATCAACGCATTATAAACTTTAATTTTAAAAAACCACAAAAATAAATAAAGATTGTGTAATTAAATAAAGATATACAAAAGTGTGGTTGTTTGTAAAAGGAAAATCATGACCCAAACATTGGGGAACAAAATTATGAGCGTCAAAAGAAAAGGGATTTTAAAAGTGGTCACCCAGACATCCTCGTACTGTACATTCATTTTTATGTACAGTTTTTTTTTTTTTCTTTTTTTTTTTATAAAAACATAATATATTTTTTTATATTAAGTATTTGAACTATTTTTTTTAAATGAAAAATAATTAAAAAAAATTATTTTGAATAATTAAGTTCATCGACTATTTTTTTTTAATGAAAAACTCCTTACACTTTTTTTTTTATTTTGTATGATCAAGTCTCTAAACATTTATTCAATAAATTAAACCCTTAAACTTTTAAAAATTGGTTACCTATATTCTTTTGACCCAGAAAAAAGATGCTTGCATATGGTTATCTTTTGATTCTACCCCTTTTGAAAAATAAAAAATAGATCATTAAGAAGGTGACCATTGGTGGCAGGGGCTAAAACCGTGATACGTGATATGAAAAAAATGGGGAGTGACGAGGGAGAACGATACCGTTGTTTGGAAGGGGTTTTAACACCGTATGGTTTGACAATGGTAAAATTGATTTAGGTTTGTTTCTAATTTAAAACATTCGTAGTCTGTTACGAGTTGACTTTTTGATTAAAAGATGTAGGTAACCAATTTTTAGAAGTTAGATGGTTTATTTATTAGAAAAATGTTTAGGGACTTAATCAATCAAAACGATAAAGTTTAATGTTTTTTATTAAAAAAAATAGTTTATGAACTTAATTATTCAACATGAGAAAGTTTATCATAGGCCCTTTGCTAGTTTTAACCGTTGAATAACCCCAAAAAATGTCATTTCACCTTGTTGTCCTTGGAGACGGGTTTCATGTGGGAGCGGTTACGTAGCCGGTAATCAGCTTTTTCTCCAATTATACAAAGACGAAGAATTATGTGAGAATAATAGTTAAGATGAGAAATATAAGAGCGAATTTATACCTCTGATCACTTTTAATCGTAAAACAACTCATGAATTGTGGTTTAGAAGAGGTTTGATCTAGTGGTTCTTTTCAATTAAGATTGATCCAACGGTAAAGATCTATTTGAATCTTTCTTACCATAATTTTCTTTCCCATCGAAACTCAACCTTCAATATAATATTTCTTGAATTAAGTGACTTTGAAGCATAGATGATGTGCTGATATCGTAAGTGTGCACACAGTGGACATAAAATCCCCAAAGTGGCGGTGCAAGTGCACGCCGACACTAAGATCGCTTTAAGTAATAAAGTGGTATAGTACCAAGATCGTTTCCACAGGGACTGGACTTACTGAGAATCAGAGACTTTCATGAACTTCTTGAACAATGTTTCGGGTTGAGAAAATATTTGAGTTTTGATTG